GCTTCCGCTCGTTGTCAGGCGGTGGCTGCCCGTGGGTTCGGTCCGCTTCATCGTGGGCGGGAAGCTGAGAGGGATTGAGGGTGGCTCGTACAGTTGAGTTGTGCTTAGGTCTCGCCTTTCTTGCCAGGGAAGCGTGCGGCATGCAGCGGTGTCACCAGGAAGCGCTAAAGAAGAACCGGGTGATGCTGGCGAAACAGCTGCTTTTAAAGGAGTTGATGGAGCATATGATAGAAAAAGACATTATCACCACGGAGATGGTGGAGATGATACAGGTATGCAGGTTGTACTCGTCTACACCCGAGCCTTAACCCTGAGTTCTAGTTAAGCTCAGTGTCGTCCCTGGCAGTGGCAGCATGGTAAACTCTGCATGTTTTAATGCGATTACATGCATGGAACATGCAAAGCAGCATGGGTTTTGCTTGCAACACGCAAGAGAACTGTAAGCCACTGTTTGCAATACTGATTTTTACTGGGGTTTAGTAAATCGTTGGCTTGCACGCTGGTATGGAGTTGCAGCAGACTGTGCTTTGTGAGTTAGGTAGTTATCTTCCAGTCCTTTGTTGTCATTTTGTGCCTCCATATGTAGAAGTAGAAATAACACCTATTTCCAAAAGAATACTGTGAAAGTAAGTAAATTAGTATATTGTAAACCAGTTTGTTGTGGTACCTGCCACTTTAGGAATTTGTACTTTATCTGTTTTTCTAAACTGCATGATGAACCTTACATGATCCAAAACCTTCACTCTCACATAGCAAATGCCGTTCGTAGGCTTTTGTTACTTATCCTGACTGGTTGGTACTATGAAGAGAAGTCACTGGAAATATCTTGGGATTGCTCTCAGAGGCATGGTAATGCACTGATGTGTGTGCAGGATGGAGGTAAAACTCTTCAAAGAGAAAACAGACTGGAAAGGAAGTGACTGAAGGTGCATATCAAGTGCATCTGAGGACTCAAGTAAGCAATTGAGGCACTTTTTAGTCCCTTAGTAGAGTTGATGGTCCTGTCATAAAAACAGATGCTGCTGAACAGAATTTTGAGCTATTTGCTGGGTGCTGCTGCAGGTGGTGTAAACTTTAGACTGATAAGGTTTTTGAAAGCAATGAAGAAATAACTTTCTGATGAATTTTGACTCACATGTGTCACATAATGTGAAATTACTCATGGGACCTGTTAAGGGTACCTGTTCTAAGTTGTTGCGAGATGCGGGCAGTCTTTACATGAAATAGCTCAAATCCCTAGTGAAAGAGGATGAAGGTACAGCAACACAGTGAAAGTCAGAGAATGAAACAAGAACTGTTTGTACTGGTTTTGGCTGGGATAGAGTTAATTTCTTCATAGTAGCTAGTATAGCTAGTATGGGGCTGTGTTTTGGATTTGTGCTGAAAACAGTGTTGATAACCTAGGGATGTTTTAGTTACTGCTGAGCAGCGCTTACACAGTCTTCTGTGCTCCTCACCCCATCCCACCAGTGAGCAGGCTGGGGGTGTTCTGCAGGTTGGGAGGGGACACAGCCAGGACAGCTGACCCCAACTGACCCAAGGGATCTTCCAAACCACATGACATCATGCTCAGTAATAAAAGCTGGGGGAAGAAGGAGGAAGAGGGGAACATTGGGAGTTCTGGCATTTTCTTTCAAAGTAACTGTCCTGCATGTTCTGCATGCTGGAGCTTTGCTGTCCTGGAGGTGGCTGAACACCTGCCTGCCCATGGGAAGCAGTGAATTAATTCCTTGGTTTGCTTTGCTTGTGTGCACAGCTTTTGCTTTACCTGTTAAACTGCCTTTATCTCAACCCACCAGTTTTTCACTTTTACACTTTTGATTGTCCCCACCATCCCTCTGGGGAGGGAGTGACTAAGCATCTGCATGGTTCAGGGCTGGTTAAACAATGACACTGCTCAAGTATGGGTGGTTAGTAGGGATGTTCAGTTGCTGGCCCAGTTAGTCACTGAAGGGAACAGAGAGGAGGAAAAGAAAAGGAGAAAAAAAATAAAAAAAAAGCCCTCTCAAAGGTGGGATAATGCCAGAGAAATCTCTTTTTGGCAAAATGCTGCTGAGATGGGGGAAGAAGACTAGAGGAATCATCCCCTTCAGGTGTAATTGAATAAAAGGAGATGCAACAGTACTTAGTAATGGATTATCAATAAGTTGTTTCCATGGATAAGTCAGGTAAATAGCAATAGCTTAGTGGAAAAATTGTGCCTAATACAACCTACACACATAACTAAGAGCTTAAATGTATATAAATAGCAATAGCAGCTTGAGCAAGAGAACAAAGTGACTCAAACAACTGTTGCAGGGTATGAATCTGGAAATTGCAGTGAAAAAAGAAATACAGTGGGGAAGAAGGAAAGCACTGACCACTGGAACAGTAGTACTGTGAAATGAGGATAGAAATGAACGTGCTAAGAACAGTGCTATAGATAAATAAAAAGTAATGTGCATTTAAAAAAAGATCACTTGAGTCAAAACCACATTGTGTTGCCTTTCATTTTTCTATAGTAGGTCTGCGAATTTGTAGTAGTCCTCCACTCTTTGGCTGAAATGTGAATAAAAGTCTTGGGAGTGCCTCTAGGTAGCCTGTTCTTGAAAATGTGTTGTGATGCTAATCATCAGGTACCCTAGTGGAAATATGAGGAGACAAGTGTCACAGTGGCTGATAGAGTGTAGATTTTTCCTGGATATTGTAGCGTGCTTCCCCAAAAAGTTACGAAATGAATAACGTCTGGATAAATAGCTATGTTTTAAATCATCTTGTCTTAAAACCACAACAGTTGTACTGGTCCTGTTGGTTTGGTTTAAACTAAGCAGAACAATAAACAACATGGTACTGGAAATAGGGCACTTAAATAAACTTTTGTAATCTAAGGAAAGTGAAATAAACCAAGGAGCTCAGGGAGGTGAAGGAAGGATGAAATTTCTTCAAGTGTAAGGTGCTCAACCAGTGCTGGAATTTTACCAAAAGTAAGAAAAAGGTGAGAGGGGAGGATATTGCAGAAAGAGCCACTAAAGACAAAGGTGGTTTTGTTGGATGAAGAGCTTACAAGGAATATAAAAAGTAAAGAGTTTGTAGGTGTATGCTGAAGAAGAACTAAAATATAGGAGCAGCTTCCTTTGATGTCCAAAATGGGGAGAGAGAGTAGGAACTTAGAGGCATGAATTTAAATTCGGTCATTCAGAAAGATATTAAACAATTTGAGTTTTTTTCCCCAATTATATACACTTTTAAGAAAGAGTAAAGAAAAAAGTTTTTCTTCCGAATGTTTGCTGAATATTGTTTAGTGTAACCTGAAGTGGATGTGGAAGTTTCATGAGGAGATACCTTAATGCTTCCTTAAATACAAAAAGTGCTGTATTTCTTTATTTTGGTACTTAAGTAAACATGCCCCATCCCTGGCAGTGTTCAAGGCCAATGTCCAAGGCCAAGGCTTGAAGCAACTTGGTCTACTGGAAGGCGTCCCAGCCCATGGCAGGGGGTTGAAACTGGGTGAGATTTAAGGTCCCTTTCAACCCAAACCATTCTGTATGAGTCAGGAAGAAGTCTGCCAAAAGCTGGCTACTGTCCATACAAAGTGCAGAATATAAACATTATGGAAATTTCTTAACTTTTCAGTAAAACTTAAGATCCAATTCTTGTGCTTAATTATGATTTATGGCTTAGAGTCATAGACTATGAAGACATAAAAACTAAGATGATTAATGTTCCTAAGTTTATTATAAAGAGGTGCAGGCCTACTAGAAAGGAAGAAGTAATTAATAGGTACTTTAGAATATCAGCTGTTAATTTACTTTATTAGGTAAAATAAAATTCAGTGGGCTTACAGCAAGATACAATATATGGAGCTGGTTGTCTTCTGTGGACTAATGAAGAAGTGTTACCAGGAGAAAGGGCCAAGTATTTTCACACTTCTGCAAAGGCACAGGTGAGTTATTACTATATGCACTTCTAGTCAACAGTGCTCTGAAAGTTGAGGTTCCTGTTAGGGTATGAAAAGGTAGTTGCATTATCAAGGGGAAGAAGCCATTTATGAGGAGGCTGAAAGAAAGTAGTTTGTTTACTGTAGCAAATCGAGACTGATTTCTAGAAAGAAGTTTGATTAATAAGGGAAAGGACAGGAGAACACTGAAGTTAAGGGATATAGTTGATACAAAAATAAATGCTACTAGTCATAAATTAATATAGTAGAGTATGGATTTTTTTTCTCTGGATCTAGGCCAAGTCTGGGAGTTTCAGCCAAAATGTGGAATTCCTCAATTTGCTGCCCAAGAGAGGCCCTAATGCATTCTCAGCATTCTGTGAAGCTCTACGAGAAACCAAACAGCAGCATCTGGAGTCAATGATCTTGAAGACAACATCCAACCTGAGCCAAGGGATTGCAAGGGTACAACAGCTCTTAAAAAATGAGACCGGTAGACTGCATTTCAGATTGGGTTTGGAAGCAAAGTGATATTTTTCAATTGGGAGGGGAAAAAAAAGTGTGTTTACAAAGGTCAGGATGGGGTTTTGTTGCAAACTGAAACTTTTAGTACACATAGTGAGAGCAGAGAGGAAGGAATTTGGGAACAAGAGAATGTAACACAGTATCACAAGATGGTAGAGGTTGAAGGGATCTCTGGAGATCAGGTGGTCCAAGTCCCCTGCTCAGGCAGCATCATCATGAGCAGGTTGCCCAGAGCCATGTCGAGGTGGCTTTTGAGTATCTCCAAGGCTGGAGACTCCACAACCTCTCTGGGCAACCTGCTCCAGTGTTCATCACCCTCATAGTAAAGAAAGTGTTTCCTGATGTTCAGAGGATACCTCCTGTGTTCCAGCTTGTGCCCCCTGTCTCTTGTCCTGTTCCTAGGCACCACTGAAAAGCATCTGGCTCTGTCTTCTTTACACCCTCCTTACAGGTATTCATACGCATTCATAAGATCACCTTGAGCCTTCTCTTCTCCAGGCTGGAAAATCCCAGCTCCGTCAGCCTTTCCTCAAATGAGAGATGCTTCAGTCCCATCATCATCTTTATGGCCTGTTGTTGGCCTTTTTCAAGTATCTCTGTATCTCCCTTGTACAGAGGAGCCCAGAACTGGATGGAGGATGCCAGGTACAACCTTGCCAGAACGGAGTAGAGGAGAAGGATCACCCATGATCTGATCTGCTGGCAGTGTTCCTCTAAATGCAGCCCATTAGCTGCCTTTGTGCCAAGGGCATGCACATTGCTGGGTCATGTTCAGCTTGGTATCCAGCAGGTCCCGCAGGACATTTTCTGCCAAGCTGTCACCCAGCTAGGTAGCCCCCAGCAAATGTTGGTGCATAGGGTTGCTCCACCCCATGCAGGAGTTTGCACTTCTCTTTGTTGAACTGCACAAGGTTCCTGGATGTTCTTATATCCAACATGTTCTTAATGAATGTGCCATCAAGAAGCCTGAAGCTGCAAAGAAAATATTCTCTCTGACATCTTTCAGTGTTTGATGATTCTCTTGAGTAGAAAGCTGCTAGAAGTTAGTCTTGTCTGTTGAGGAGAGAGGGACTTTCCTTTCTTGCTTTTGTTATTTATTTTCATCTTTTCACTATCTATGGTTGTTAGCACTGGACTAAAGGAAGAATTTAGCAATGATTCAGTATTCTTAGTGTATTGACAAGGATGGAAACTTGAGGTAAACATATTTTATACGAAGGAAAGAAGACCAGATATTTTTGAACAGAGATGTTACAATATTAAAATGTAGGATTTATTAGACTACCCTTTCTATTTTCTTGTTTTCAGTTGTGTTTTGCTTTATAAAAAATCATAGAATCGTCTAGGTTGGAAAAAGACCTTTAAGATCAAGTCCAGTCATTATCCCAGCACTGCCAAGGCCACCACTAACCCATGTTGTGAGGGCCTCGTCTACACAGTTTGGGAACACTTCAGGGATGGTGACTCCAGCCCTGCCCTGGGCAGCCTGTTCCAATGCCTGAGCACCCTGTCTGTGAAGAAATTGTTCCTAATCTCCAGTCTAACCCTCCCTTGGCACAGCTTGAGTCCGTTTCCTCTTGTCCTGTCACTTGTTCCTTGGGAGAAGAGACTGACCCCACCTCACTACAACCTCCTGCCAGGCAGTTGTAGAGAGCGATAAGGTCCCTCTTGAGCCTTCTCTTCTCCAGACTAAACCCCCCAGGTCCCTCAGCCGTTCCCCATCACACTTGTGATTCAGGCCCTGCACCAGCTCCCTTGCCCTTCTCTGGGTCTGTTCCAGCACCTCAATGTCTCTCTTGCAGTCAGGGGCCCAGAACTGAACACAGGATTCGAGGTGCAGCCTCACCAGAGCCCAGTGCAGGGGTATGATCACTGCCCTGGCCCTGCTGGCCATGCTATTTCTGATCCAGGATGCTGTTGGCTTCTTGGCTGCCTGGGCACAAGCTGCTCAAGTTCAGCTCTGTCAGTCACCACACCCAGGTCCTTTTCCATGAGCAGCTTTCCAGCCACTCTTCTCCAAGCCTGGAGCATTGCATGGGGTTGTTGTGGCCCAAATGCAGGACCCAGCACTTTGCCTGTTGAACCTCATACCACTGGCCACAGCCCATTGATCCAGCCTGCCCAGATCCCTCTGCAGAACCTTCCTGTCCTTCAGCAGATCAACACTCCCACCTAACTTGGTGTCATCTGCAAGTTTACTGAGGGTGCCCTCGATCCCCTCATCCAGACCATCAGTGAAGATATTGAACAACACTGGCCCTAACACCAAGCCCTGAGGGACACCACTAGTGACCAGTCACCACCTAAATGTGATGCTGTTTAGCACCGGTCTTTGGGCCTGGCCATCCACCCAGTTTCCAACTCAGCAAAGAATCCACCTCTCCAGGCCATGAGCAGCCAATTTCTCCAGGGGAATGCTGTGGGAGACAGTGTCAAATGTGTTACTTAAATACAAATAGACAATGACCACAGCCTTTCCCTCATCAACCAGGCAGGTCACCTTATCATAGAAGGAGATCAGGTTGGTCAGGCAGGACCTGCCCTTCATGAGCCCCTGATGACTGGGCCTGATCCCTCCGTTTTCCTGCACATGCTTTGTGATCTTACTTGGGATTGTTTGCTCCATGACCCCGGCCCTGAGCTCAGGCTGACAGGCCTGTAGTTCCCAGGGTCTTCCTTCCTGCCCTTTTTGCAGAGAAATGTCATGTTGGCCAACCTCCAATCCCCTGGGACCTGCCCACTACACCAGGACTGCTGGTAGATGGTGGAAAGTGGCTTAGTGAGCTCCTCTGCCATCTCCTTCAGCACTCTTGGGTGGAACCCATCTGGCCCCATAGACTTGTATACATCTGAGTGGAGCAGGAGGTCTCTAACGATTTCTTCCTGAATTATGGGCACTTCAGTCAGCTCCCATCTCTGCCGTCCGGCTCAGGGAACTGAGCACCCTGAGCATGGCTGGTGTGACTATTAAAGACTGAGGCAAAGCCAGCATTAAGTACCTTTTCCAGAAGTCTAATGTGGAGGTTTTGCTGACCTTCCCGAGTTCTCCAAGGATTGAAAATCCAATCATTTTGTGATTGCTTTGCCTAAGACAACCTCAAGCATCATATCACCCACTGTCCTTTTCTGTTTGCCAACAGCAAATGTAGCCAGGCACCTCCCCTAGTTGGCTCACTCACCAGCTGGGTCAGGAAGCTATCTTCCACACCCTCCAAGAACCTCCTGGAGTTTTTCTTCTCTGCTGTGTTGTACTTCCAGCAGACATCTGGTAGGTTGAAGTCCCCCACAAGAACGATGGTGAAACTTCTGAACGATGGTGAACAAGCGATGGTGAAACTTCTCCCAATTGTTTGCCATGAAAATAAAATCTTGAAAGAAAACAGAAAGATATCACTCGACAAACACATTTTTGGCAAAAATAAGGAGGATATAACGACAGTGTTAAGGTTTTCAAACTGGGGATTTGGGCAGAAGTAGAGATGAGCAAAGAAAGGAAGAAATTTTGAATGGACAGAAAATGCTATTGCTGTCTTGTGATGTTTCATTTGGTGTGAACCATCATATTTTTTAAGTCGTGTATATGCGTATGTAAATGTGTGTGCCTGTGTTCCATGATACCTACAGTCTTGTGTTGCAGAGAAAAAAATAGGCATTGTATGCAACTCTTTTCATGGATTTATTGAATGTCTTCTAGCTTGAACACTGTTACGGATCAAATCTTCCATTCCCTGTCAGTGAGTCATGTAATTCAAAGAGACTGCGCTGGATAGGTGAGTTGCCTTGACTTGCTATCTGGTTGGTTTCTTAATAATCTCTTAATTCAGTTCTAGAAATAAGCTTCCCACCACTTTGCTCATCCCAGGAATACAAACTTGGCAGTGAACTGTCTATATTATGATCAGATGCAGAATTAGGGTAGAAAATGAAATGGCATGTTGGAAGAGAACCCAAGCAGTCTCTAGTCAGCTTCACGTATTCTTACAGGAAATTTTGTTGCTTAAATAGTACATGTCAGTAAAATATTAGATTTTGGAAGATTTTCTTTTTTGTTTAAGATTTGTAATACAGTTTAATTGAACTAGATCTGTGAAAAGATACCAATTTTGGGCAGTACTCCATAACTTAGACTTAGACTTCCTTCTTGGCGAGTAAGTTTAAGTACAAGGCCTTGCTTACGTTACATGGACCCAATATAGATTTCTGTCGCTTCTGTTGAGTGTAGCGAATCAAGTTTTCTTTAGCAAGAGTCTGTGACTTAACGTCAGGAAGCTAGTTGTTGAAATGAATCTCCTTGCTAGTTTTTATGTTGCCTCTTGTAATGCCTGGAGTACTCATGTTCCCTAGCCACAGCTTTAACTGTATGCTTGTTACTAGGAGCTCTCTCTGGTGTTAAAGAACAAGTCTCCAGATTTGGAACGCCTTTTTTTTTCTTTTCTTTTATTTTTTTATTTTATTTTATTTAGGTGCAAAAGTTTTAGGGTTGGATTGTTTTGGTTTTTTAGAGCGTATGTTCCTCCAACTAGGAGAGCTATGTAAAAGGATTTTAGAGGAGATCAGGAATGTCATCTGTTTCTTCAGGAAAAGGGAGTGAGTGTTTTGTCTGCAAGTGGCAATAGTTGATTATCATTTCCACTATCTGCTGTTATCCAGAGGAAAGCATTCTTCAGAGGCAGATAAACAAAAAAAGACATTCCACTTTATGGCAGTTAGAAACATCTCGTTTGATTACTTACACATGTGTTCAGCAAAAAAGAAGTAATTGTATCCAGTGAGGGAGGCCTTTTATGAAAGGAAAAACACTATTCTAGTTGAGTATTTCTAGCAATGGTTTGTCTGTGAAAGAAATAACATACTGTGCAAAACGACAAAGCTCACAGAGAAGTATGTTTTCATGCTCTAGAACCAAATTTACTAGGCCTTAGCTAAGGCAAACCCAGGTACAAGACAAAAAAGAGTTGCCAATTAAAACTATAAAAGATTAAGTATACCATTCCAGTACTTTTGGGGTGTTGTTTTCACTGCTGTGTTTCATTGTGTGTCTGTAGTCTCTGTTCAAACAACATTTTTAGAGATATGAATATTATAATACAGGAAGATGTCTAAGACCACATAGATGAGAATTTGCAAGTTACTGCCTTAATGCAGAGGCTTTGTAGTTGGAATTTTTTATTGTTATTGATATGTTTGTTTTGCACAGAACCAATGGAACATTCCTTGGATAATGGAGATGGTCCCCCAATTCCTCAAGTGAAGTACTGCACTCCCAAATTTTATCATGATCATCGGCACTTGGTAAGTAGTTGAGAGAGAAAATCTTGAGACATGAAAGATATGAGGTGTTTGGACATTCAACTGAACATGTGCTTCTTACAATTGCATCAAAATGCGGCTTCATTGGGACGCAGATCAGTGTTGTGCTACTTGTGTCACCGAAAGGTGTTACCAGTTCTGTTTGACTTGATGTAGTTCTAATTTACAAGTAGCAAGAAGTTCTGTAACTGTACAAATCTCTGCTTCTGGTTTTTGTTCTTGAAGAGCTTTGTTAAATGCCTTCTTTTCTGTTGCTGTCAGTCTTATTGCCTCATATATATTTGTTTGCATCCTCATCTCCTGTGTGATGACACACTCTGCAAATGACTATAAGATACTAGAACTGTGTTTCAACTCGTAGTCACAGTCTTGGCTAGTTTAATTGCCAGCTGTACCACGAAGAGTCTCTCCTTAGTCTCAAGAACCAGATCAGGATTAGGTGCTGGCTAGAACAACCTGAACTTCTAATCTGCAGTGTTAGAAGTTATGTAGGTGGCCTAATTAATTTTTGTTTATTGTATTTGTTAAGCACAAATTGTGGTGTGGTGGATTAAGGGGAAAAAAAGATCATTTTGTATAACGGGGCAGACACTTTGGTAGGTTACATGATGTGCTAACACTTAACAGTTCTCTCACAGGCTCTATCTACAGCAAAGCAGATTGGTTTTGGTTTTTTTTACTGTTGACTTGGCTCCTTTTACATCTGTGCCTGTATGCACCTTATTTGATATGCTCGTTTGGTATTAAATTTCACTTTCAATTCACACAAGTGTTAGTAACAGGCTTGTTGTTAGAGTGGGAGGGGGCAGAGAGGAAACTTAATTTGAACAGACCCCTCTTAAGTTAGTTCTTTCCCTTTTAAGCTGCTATATAACTTTCAGGATCAGCGATTGACAGTTCCTTGCTGTTAGAATGGCACTCACATGCTGTTTTACATCTGTGTCTGCTCTGAGCAGCTGTTAGGAAATGTTCACTAAATTTTACATAGTGTTGTCCTAAGGCCTTGGATGGGGATGACAGAGATATACAGGGCTGTACTGGAGTGAGAGTGGGAAAAGGGAGAAGAGTTAGCAAGGCCCAGTTCACAGTTGGAAATACTGTGTTTCTTTTAAAATAAGAAATAAGGCAAGGTAGTATAGCATCTTCATAGGTATGTTGTGGGATCAGCAGTTGTGGAGACTTGCAAATACAGTTGTCTTTAAGACCCTTTGCAATACAAACATTTGGTTTATGAAAACCAAACCAAAACACCAAAACCACCACAACAAAAAACGCAAACAAAAAAGCACCAAAAAAAACCCCACATACACAAAAAAAAACCCCCTAAACAGAAACCTCAGAAATCTGACCTCTGCTGGTTTTGTGCCTTCTCCGTCCAGAAATCCTGCATATCATATCAAATTAGTATGTAGGGATTGCTGTTCTACTCTAACATCTATTATTTCCTTATGTAGTCAGACTTTACAAATCTTGTATCTTCTTTGCAGGCATATAAACTGATATCAGAGCCCCGAGGCTTAGCACTTATTCTCAGCAATGTCCATTTCAGCAGTGAGAAGGACTTGGAGTATCGTGCAGGGGGAGATGTGGACTGTACTTCCCTAGAGATGCTTTTCAAGCACCTTGGGTATCAAGTGACTGTCTTTCATGATCAAACTGCACAGGTAAAGCGGGTCGATCCCAGTACTTCACAACCAGTATGGATAAGATTTTGTAACTATTACGTAAACTTCTTAAGAGGTTCCCTTTGGTATAATAAAGCTCGAACAGGAAGATGTGAATGGTCACTTATGAATGGAAAATGAGGCTAGATGGGGTGATGTGTGCTTACATACTGACAAATATAAAGAAGCTTGGAAGGGAGAGGACTTAGAAAGTAGGATCAGAAAGGACGTACTGCTCTAGCCTGACTCTGATGCAAGGGGCAAAAATTTCTAGACCACACCTGACATGTCTTGTTAAACCCACAAATGAATAAAGTCTCCAGTTTACTATAGATGGAATTCTCCAGTGTTCTGCTATCCTAGAAGTTGAACTTTGCAAATATTTCACCTAGTCTTTGAAAATGTTAAGTGGTGTTTTCATGTCTTTTCACTGATGGAGTCAATTGCCATCCTGTTTACCGGTCTTCCAGTATCTATGCAGTTAAGTTCCATTCTTTCAGTCTTTGTTTTGCTAGAGAAGTGGCTGTGCTTCAATTAGGAAAATTGGTAATATTCCATGACTGACTGAATCAAGCCATTCTCTTTTCCTGGGAATGCAATTGCTGCCTTCTCTAACCTCATTCCTTCTTAGTCCTTTTAAATCCCTATGAAACTAAGCGTTACAGAACCTGTTAAAGTGTGTTTTATTCAAGAAGGCATCTTTTGCAGTATTGTATTGCACCTGCCATGTTGTCAGAGTTCCTAAAGCTTTCCACTCTACGTTGTTGTATTCTGATCACTAGTGTTTGAATGCCTGAAGTACCAGAATATGTATCTGCTGAGTTGCTCCAATATCCCAGCCACACTCAAGTGCCAGTGTAAAACCTGTATAAAAATACGAGTTGGTTTCTCTTAGCTGAATGCATATGTACCAACTTGGATATTTGCTGCATCCCCCTGTTGGCCTAAGTGATTCCTACTTCACAATGTTATACTTATGACTGAATATTACACACAAGAACGTTTTGCTGGGGTTTTTTTAAACGGAATACATCTTTTTGCCCTGTAAATTTGATGTACATAGGGTTTATTTCCTAACAGAAAGACAGGACATGGATCTGTTGGAGTTGGTCCAGAGGAGGGCCACAAAGATGATCAGAGGGCTGGAGCATCTCCCCTATGAAGACAGGCTGAGAGAGCTGGGTTGTTCGATCTGCAGAAGAGAAGGCTCTGGGGAGACCTTGGAGCAGCTTCTAGTATCTAGCAGGGCTACAGGAAACCTGGAGAGGAATTTCTTGTAAGAGCAAGTAGAGATAGGACAAGGGGAATGTTTTTAAACTGACAGAGGGTAGGATTTAGATTAGGTACTAGGAAGAAGCTCTTCCCTGTGAGGGTGCTGAGGTGCTGGCACAGGTTGCCCAGAGAAGCTGTGGCTGCCCCATCCCTGGCAATGTTCAAGGCCAGGTTGGACACAGGGGCTTGGAGTAACCTGCTCTAGTGGAAGGTGTCCCTGCCCATGGCAGGGGTTGTAACTGGGTGAGCTTTAAGGTCCTTTCCACACAAACCAGTCTATGATTCTATGACTGCTTGTGTTTTTCCCTGTGTATTGCCCCACTTTTCCTTTGCAAGTCTGGAAAACATTAAACATTTTTGTTCTCTCTCTCTTCCAGGAGATGCAGAGTGCATTGGAGAGATTCTCTAAAATGCCAGGTCATCGGGATGTGGATTCCTGCATTGTAGCTTTACTTTCCCATGGTGTGGAGGGTGGGGTTTATGGCAGTGATGGCAAACTACTGCAGGTATATTGCTGTGTCCTGCTATCTTGTTGCAGGTTATCTCTTGGAAAGTAACAATGGAAAGAGGAAAAAATGTTATTGGGATTTTTTTTTAAAAAAAGAAAAAAACCAAAACTGAAATGATGGGAGGCTGAGGATTCCCTTTTAAAAAAGGAAAGAATAAGGGCTTGTAGGAGGAAAAGTACAAGAGGCCGTCTGTGAGAGGTCTGTAAGATAAAGAGTGGCATAGAAGAGAAGTTGTTCCATTCTCTCTTCTTGTACAAGTGCTACATAGAGTGCATGAACTCAAACTAGTAGAGCTTGGGGGGTGTGGTGTGTGAAAAAGTTGTCACATGGTGAGTTTGGAGATGAAGGAAATACCAAGAGGTAATAACAAATACATGGAAGCAAAATGAGATAAAGTTTGGCTCACAAGAGGCCGCAGTGAGGAATATTTATCATCTTTCTTCTTTCAGTTGCAGGAGGCCTTCCGGCTTTTTGATAATGCGAACTGTCCAAATCTCCAGAATAAGCCCAAAATGTTCTTTATTCAGGCCTGCCGGGGAGGTGAGTGCCTAAATACTAAAAGCCATGTATTTGGCATGCCAGTAAGGCTCATTTTACACACGTACACACCCTCACATTCAACTTGCTGTCAACTTTCCTCTTTGCTTCTCTCAGGTGTAAGTGGGACCCATATTCACCTCCCTCTGCCCTGCTGCTGCCACTGCATCTGTTGCTCTGTAAGTGTCTTTTGCTCTGCATGAGGTGTGTGCATTGACTTGCAGACCCCAGAGCACTTTAGTGATACAAAGCTCTACTATATCCCAACTAACATATTGAGGCTTTCTCTTGCTATGCCTGCAGTAGGGGGAGTGGGGCGTATGGTACATCAAATTGCAGCACAGCATGGAGTGGTACACTAGCACTGGAGTCTTGTCTGAGGTCCTGTCTGTCTCTTGATCCTGGATATGTTGTGTCTCTTGTGTTGTCATCTATTGAGCTATCAAAGTTGGCTCCAAATGTGTGGGTTTTTTCTTTTCCTTTATCCTAACCTGTTTTCAACTTCCAAATGACCTTGCTTTAGACCCTTTTCCACATGCTATTGTAGAATTCTTATCTACTATTGTGCATGCTGTTTCTTGATTCTCATAGACTTACGCTTTTTCCACTCTTTCAGTTCGCATTTCCTTTAATTCTGCTATTTGTTTTCCCTCCTTTTGTAACTAAACACATGTCTGTAACTAACTGCTCTTCAGATTTGCTAACGACCAAATTTTTCCTTAAAATGTTTGGACTTTCTAAGCTCACTCTGAAACTGCAGATACTCTGAAGAGGAGTTCTGTCTTAGAAAGCTTTGGTTTTTACCTTGTGAGAGAGAAGTTTTTTCTAGTGTGTATGCTTTTTCTCCTTCTTTTCCCTTGTTCCTTGGAATTGTCTCCTTTCTTTCTCACTTTTAGCAGAGCTGCTTTATAGTTTGCCCTCTTGCCGGGTGAATGTTTCTTTTGCCTGTTATTTACTCGCATTTAAGCCCAGTGCAAAGAAAAACCTGAAGTCTACATGAAGTATTTTTACAATGAAAAATAATCAATTCAACTAAGCATTTGGAACAACATGCACATTTACAGTATGAATTGAATGTGATTGCTTTCCTTATACTATTGAACCTTTAGGGACTTTTGAATATGCAGACTCATAACATTGTGGAAGTAGGTGTGGTGAGCCAGAATTTGCAGCTGACCTAATTAGTTGATCAGATTTATTTGACTGTGATGTTACAATAATGGGTCTGTCAACATCAGCAAATCAGACTTGGCCTTCCTATACCCAAAACGGTTTCAGTTGGAGTGGTAAGCTCTCTATGCAAAATGCTGTAGAACTAGGATCCTGCAGTAGGCAAAGGATTGAGACTTGATCAACTGAAAGGGAAAAATCGTTCTTCAATTAAATAAAAGGGGGAGGGGAATGCCTTTTTTAAACCTCTCTTAAACCTTGATTAATAGTTGCAGGGGATGGCTAATTACAAAGTAATTGAGCTGTCAACAGAAATGTGTATCTTTTCATGTTAGCATTCAAAGGTTAGACTAGCCAAAAGAGTTTTTTTCAATAGCAGAATTCAAATAAATAGTGTGGGCAACTTTAGATTAGTACTCTGTCCCTCTATGCCATGCAAGCTAGCTGGAACTAGTTGAAAGAAAATGCAAAATATATAGGTTATTCTTTTTCGCCTAAGTTTGTGTAATAGGCCTTACTTATCTTCTATTAATGACACATTAAAAACTGTAGATGAAGAAGAGTTGGTACAGCCTACTTAATTTCCAGAGGGCCTTTGGCAGAAGTCTCCTAAAGAGTTGAATAGTCCACCTGCAGTCATGGATCAAAACCCAGCAGCAACAGAAAGGAATGGGAAAAGACAAATAGTCACATTTCACTATGATATAAAATGAGACTGAAGCTGCTTAACATCAGTGTTTAATATAGTAGTTGATCCAGAAAACTGGGAACCGTGGTAAATAATGACAAATAGGTAGTTAGCCTTTATTTAGATAAATTGGGAAAACAGCTCTCTGGGACCTTGAGTAAAATTTAAACAGACTGGTTCAGTCTGGGTGGCAGTTATCATTGATATATACTAGAGATTGAGTATGCAGAGGAATATCTAACCCAGTGCTTTACACTTTTTAATCCTTGTCTCTAAATTGGAGAGATATCAATTTGATACATGGACCACTCAGTGGATAAGGAACTGGCTGGGTGGCCACACGCAAAGAGTTGTGGTCAACGGTTCAATGTCCAGATGGAGACCAGTAACAAGTGGTGTCCCTCAGGGATTGGTGTTGGGACCTGTGTTGTTCAGTATCTTTGTCGGTGACATGGACAGTGGGACTGAGGCACCCTCAGCAAGTCTGCCGACGACACCAAGCTGTGTGGCTCGGTTGATACGCTGGAGGGAAGGGATGCCATCCAGAGGGACCTTGGCACGCTTGTGAGGTGGGCTGATGCCAACCTCATGAAGTTTAACCAAGCCAAGTACAAGGTCCTACACCTGGGTCGGCACAACCCCAGGCACAGCTACAGGCTGGGTGGAGAAGAGATTCAGAGCAGCCCTGCGGAGAAGGACTTGGGGGTGGTGGTTGATGAGAAGCTTGACATGAGCCAGCTTCAGTGTGCGCCTACAGCCCAGAAAGCCAACCATCTTGTGAGACCTCACTTGGAGTATTGTGTCCAGTTCTGGTGTCCTCAACATAAAAAGGACATGGAGCTGTTGGAGGAAGTCCAGAGGATGATAAGGGGGCTGGAGCACCTCCTGTATGAGGACAGGCTGAGAAAGCTGGGGCTGTTCAGCCTGGAGAAGAGAAGCTGCATGGAGACCTCATAGCAGCCTTCCAGTATCTGAAGGGGGCCCATAAGGATGTTGGGGAGGGACTCTTCATTAGGGACTGTAGTGGTAGGACAAGGGGTAATGGGTTCAAATTGAAATAGGGGAAGTTTAGGTTAGATATAAGGAAGAAGTTCTTTACAGCGAGGGTGGTGAGGCGCTGGAATGGGTTGCCCAAGGAAGTTGTGAATGCTCCATCCCTTGCGGTGTTCAAGGCCAGGCTGAACAGAGCCTTGGGCGACATAGTTTAGTGTGAGGTGTCCCTGCTTATGGCAGGGGGGTGGAACTAGATGATCTTAAGGTCCTTTTGAACCCAAACCATTCTATGATTCTATGTTGGTAAGTTGACTGGAATGGTATTTGAAGACAAATGCATGAGGAAGACATCTAATTCTGAAGCTTTAATCAAAAAGGTTTTGACAATATATTACGGGATGATGACAGTATGAATAATACAGCTTGGTTGTAAAATTGAGTCTTATTTGAAATGACATGCACTGTGAACAGTATACAGAATTTTTAGGAAGAATTAAAAGCATTTGGAGAAATGTGATAAAATACATTAAAAGAACATAATTCAAAATTGAGAGAATTGCATTGCTGCCTTAAAGAGATGAAGGAACTTCATGGAAGCAATCATGAAATTTTGAGCTGTGGAGCTTTTAGTTACAGGCTATATCTGCATGACCCACAATCGCAGTCTGGTGTGTTTGACCCCTCCCACTGCTCCTTTAATTTTGGAGGAAAACAACAACATTGCTGACTTACCAGCTTACCATTTCCTGTGCATAATTATGAGATGCCACCAATGTCACTGCTATAATAGGGTTAGGAATCCAAATGCATTTCTTAGGCACGATCTGGCAAGAAAAACCTAGAGCCATCATAACAGGAAGTGGGTGCTTATGCCTCCTAAGACTAGAATCTGACTAGACCTCCTAAGACCCATGCTGTTAGGACATAGAATAGTAGATTGTCATCTTACAACAAAAGAACAAAAGGGAAAAATTATATGAAAAACCCTGTAAAATGTGGTTTTATTTTTCATACAACATAGTTGGGTGATTAAAGTTACTACTGCTACTACTAAGCAGTTAGTCTAGATTACAGTGGAAACTGCGTCATGTAAACAAGCAATTGAGAATATCTACACTTGTCATCATACATACTAATGAATCCTGAAAAGGATATTAAATGTTCTCCAGGTTTTAAACTAATCTCCATGTGCTGGAGTTCTTACTCCAGTTTGAGGTGAAATTATTTTACATTTTACTGTTGCACAATTTATGCTTTTGATTGAAGCTTAAATTATATATTGAAATACTCGATTATAATCAGGATTTTGAACTAGGTGAGATATTTGGTCCATGTTTCCTTGATGTCTTGAAGGTAGACCTTAGCAACTAAAATCATAGCTCTTGCTTGAGTTCTGCAATAAGTAGGTAATTAGCATTGCAAACTAGACTAGACATTTTTGGACATTGCTAAGGTAGGTAAAAGTGGAAAATAGAAACTTTTAGGTCTAGGCATCGCATCCTTCCATGCATGGTGTAGACCATGCATGGAAGAAACTTTGCTTTTCGGTTATTCCATGATCTGCATAGGAAAGGAGAGGGGGAAAAAAAAAATCAGCATGTGGATTCATAGTCACATTAGGTTCAGCCGCTGATGGTATCTACGTTAGTTTGTGCAGAAGAACTTTCAGATGTATTTTAAGAACAGCGAAAACCACTTAAAGTTCATGAAAAAGCTTTCTGCTTGGCAACAGTTGTGGCATTGCTGAGCAGAGCCCCAAATGAAAGAAGTGCAAGAAAACTACTTCCAGGAAATACAGATAATTTCTTCTTTTTCTTTTTTCCTTTTTTCTTTTTTTCTTTTCTTTCTGTCCCACTCCCTCCTTGTTTATTTGCTCCCTCAGATGAGACAGACCGGGGAGTGGATCAGCGAGATGGGAAAGAATGGTCAGATTCCCCAGGCTGTGAGGAGACCGATGCAAACAAGGAGGAAAATCTCAAGCTGCGTCTGCCTACGTGCTCTGATATGATCTGTGGATATGCTTGTCTAAAAGGTACTGGAGAGAGACCCTAATTGTTGGGGCAGAAGGAGGTTTTATGTGTCTGTGTTCCCCAGAAACTTCATCATACACAGTTTCTTCTTAGGCACTGCAGCCATGCGAAACACCAAGCGTGGATCCTGGTATGTTGAAGCTCTCACCTCTGTGTTTGCAGAGGACTCTCGAGACACTCATGTGGCTGACATGTTGGTGAAGGTGAGCAGGAGTGTCTTTCCTCTCCCACACTTACCTTGTATCTGAAGAGCCCTCCAGTGCTTCAAATTGGTAGGATTAATCTACTATTAAAGCAATTGTTCTTGCCTTGTTTGTAGCAAAATTATTACTTTTTCCCCTATTTATTTATATGCAGTTCCACAGCAGTTTAACCAAAGTAAAAATGCTGTTTCTTTGACTCTGTCCATTTCTTGTGCTGTCACGTGGTGAACTTAAGAGAAGAATTAATCTGCCAAGAATTACTTTTCTTCTATGGAAATAGCTTTTCATTCAAGTAGATTCAGTCATTGAACTGGCTCACCACATAGCTGCACAATCACTTGCACTCATAAGGGTAAAGAATGGGTGAAGAGGGAGTGAAGACAGCAGTGTGAGGAACTTAAGCTGCCATGGAACTGCACCCTAGTTCTTTATCCTTCTTATAATTTAGAAAGACAATAAATAAGGGACTACTCAGTAAGTTAAACAGAATAATCTATGAGTACAGAAAACAACGACATTTTTCTTACTTGTCTTTAATCCTTCTGGTATTTTGTTCTCACATCTAGGTGAATAGGCACATCAAGCAACGAGAAGGTTATGCCCCAGGCACAGAATTTCACCGCTGCAAAGAAATGTCAGAATATTGCAGCACGCTCTGTCGGGACCTTTACCTGTTCCCTGGTTATCTGCCAGGAAAATAACCCTGCCAGCTCAGTGCAAGGGAGATACTGCCAAAGCTGAACTTGGAGTATGGATGTCTACATTTTCATTCTTTTAGGCTGTGACATGAGATGCACAAGCAGGGAGTGATTGTTTATATCTGGCCAGTCCGATTCTTGATGTCTTTCTCTAATCTGGCAATTCTCTTTCTAATCTGATTCAGTTCAGGATTTAAAATTCTAATATCCTGACTTAATCCGTATGTATAGAAATTGATGGAAAGAGGATCAGCACTGGAACTCGGAAGAAGTGGGAACATCCTTTGGAAGGAGACATTAAGGACATTTGTAAGAAAACTGAACGTGAGAAGGGAAACTGACTGTTCATACAGTTTTTTAAAAGCTAAACCTTTCTGAAAGGAAAATTATTCCTAATATGCTACTTATCTTATGCTTGTATTTTAAAATTTTTAAACACTTTCTGCCTGGTTCTTCATGTGGTTGTTAGAAAAGGGCTCCATTGTGAAGGAGACTTCTAAAATAGAAGGTTATTGTTTTCAGTATTTGACACTTTCCTATCATCTTGATAACTTTAAAGTCTGGTTTTGCACATTCCTTCTATAGCCAAGTGGTCAGGAGAAATACAAGACATCCCACGTTATCAACGAGCAGAGATCTAGGGTTTCTCATACAGACAAGCCTTCATAAACTGCCCCAGGAATAGTTTTGAATCTAGAAGTTCTAGATTAGCTCTCCTTAGTCCCAGAAGTGAACAACTGCATGGAATATTACTTTTGAGGGATTTGTTTGCCATTGTACCTGTGTGTCACAACAGGCACAGCATTCAATCCACCAGCTTCTCAGGAGACTATGAATTGCACTGTACAACTGGATCCCTGAAACCCTACAGCTTTGTACAAAAGGATCTTTTGTTTAAGTAAGAAAAATATTCAGGGCAGCTCTTTACAGTCCAAGCGTGTTGCTTGGACTATTTATCACTGCAGTTTGTTTCCCTTTTACATGAAAGGGAAGAGTTTCATGTTATTACCCTGTTACGTGAGTTTTCTTTCTTCAGCCATGATCAGTCAAAGCTGCTGTTTAGCTAATGCTGTTTGCAGAGTGTCATTTCAAATGCTCAATAAGAAATGAGGCATCATCAATCGCTTTTGGAAATTTCTTACACAGTCTCTTCATACAGTCATTTGTCTCTTGCTTGTGTCCAGTTGCACTTGCTCCCATTTGATGTGATGTGGGAGGTGGACATTGTGCTCTTTTTGTGGTAGAGCCTAAATCCTGATACAGTGGGTTGCATATGAACTAGAGTTTCTGTTCACCCAAGTCTCGATCTCCATTTTGTAGCAGCAAGTCGGCATTGTTTCTGCCTTACTCTTTTTATGTTAAGTGTTGCTTTTAAAATATTTTTGGAGGACAGAGTCATGAATCGGAAGCACAAAGGGATGTGGAGGGAGGCTGGAAAGTTAGGCATGTACTTTTTTATTGTTCGGCTGAGGCAAATGAAGGCTGTGTGTCCTCCAGCTGACAAAGGTGCAGCATCTTGCGCTTACCTTACACACAATGTGATAAACAGAACAAGGATCATACTTGCCAATTGGTGCCTTACTCTGAAGTTAAGATACTGGTTTAGGGGCCGTTGTACCTCTGTGGAGTATAAAACCCACTTTCTTCCTGAGTGCTCCCTCTTTGAAATGGTGCAATATTTTACAGATAGGTATATTAATGAAGTAGTCCACTCCGATGGATTAGATTTCTGTAGAATTGCATCAATTTGCATTATCACTGCCACTTTCATATATTCTTTTTGTATACGTGTATTTTACTGCCTTGAGGTGTCAAAATAAAGAATTCCTGTTTGATTAATCTGTATCTTCCATTTGGAGAGCTATACCTCTGTGCAGAAATGTAGCTTCTATATAAAGAGAATTTTGCATGATTTTTTGAGATAGTACTTCCCAGAAGTGCTTTTGACTCTCAGACAGAAGCCCAGAAGCCTGCAACCAGTATGGGCTGCTTGTGAATTTGATAAAGAGATATGAGGCAGAACCACCAAGGAAGAGCCTGATGTTGTGTTTCAGCACTAAAATACTTAGACTGGGAAAATTGTGGGCTTGGTATTCTTGGAAGAAGAGTTGGTGCCAAAATGAAGAGTTCCTGAAAAAAGGAGTCTTGGAAGAAGGAAGCGCCCAGAAAGAAGGCCAAGATAACCAGCTGAAGGAAAGATCCTGGAAGTAGCGAAAGATCCAGGGGATCAGAATGTAATGCCCATGACTGGGAGCAGAACCAACACAACTTGCTACTCCACCTTCACAGATGAGCATTGATCCAGCTGCTGGGAAGGGAAGCTGAGACCTGGTAATGCACCTGGGAAACAGCCAGTGAGTGGCTGTGAAACAAGCAGGTAAAGGCTCTGTTCTCATCAGTTCTAAAACAGTTCCCAGTGTTCAGATCTAGTAGAGATTGTCATTTACCCTGTCTTATCTGTGACACTTAAGGTGTTCCCTGAGAAAAAAAAACATTGTTTTTTCAATAATACCAAACTCTGCTGGAGGAAATGTAGTAGTAATATTAGCAGTGGAATTACCAACATCTCCCTTTTGGTAGTAGGGGTTTCTAGTAGTCCAGAAGATGAAGTGAACAAGATGTTTGTATTTTCAGAGAAGTAAGTTCTGAGCTACTAGCATAGTTTAAGGAATGACTTTAATAGCTAGGATAACAGGAAAGTGTTACCTGCTTCACATTTGGCTCAAAACCAAAAGAATGAAGTCAAAAGTTTTGTGGGGAGTGGAAACAGTGAACAGGAAGTAGACAAAGAATTCTTCGAATCCTGGGTTGCATGAAAATCATTGTATTTATTAATAGAACAATTAAGTAAATGAATAGAGTGTAGTAATTCTAAACTGGTTTTGTTTCCCTGTTTGCCATTATGAAAAGTAATAGATGCTCAAAGGATCTGACTTTGGAAAAATAGTTCTTGGCTTTCTGTCCCAGGCCCATGGCTGTAGCTGCTGATTTTCCATTTGCAGATCCAAACAGTAGGAAGGATGAGTGAGCATATATCGGAAACAGACCCATGTACAGAGGACACTGACATAACTGGCTAAACACAGTGTAACAGATAAAGAATTGCCTTCATCGGCACCTAGCTTCAGTGCTGCCAAGACTCAACACTTAAACAGCCACCTCCCCTTTCTCCTCTTCATCTGGTAAGGATTGAAGTTCAGTAGTGAAAGCATTTGCCCCCCCACTCTCTAGGTTCACAAGCACATTCATGGAGTACATAGAGAGCACGGACACTCTGTCTCTCCCATACTCCTGCTTAGATCTTGGGCCTTAACTGCTCCATGGGTCTTACCTGCTCCTGCTGGTTAGTTCAGCTTGATGCTTGCTAGCAAACAGGTGTGTTCACATGCTTATCCCACAGGCACACCGCACTCATGGGTGCCACTGAATACCTAATACCCTTAACTGGACCCAGAACCTCTTGCTTGCTGTTTAGTCCCGTCCACATTGAAGTTTGCCACCAAATTACATGCATATGTCCCAGGTTTGGTGAAGGTACAGACAATCCTCCAACTAGTACTCAGCACCTCACGTGGGTCTGACCTGTAACTATCACTTGGGCACCAAATGAAATTATCCAGAGAGCTGTGGCTACTGCAGCTACTCATGCTGAGATCTCACTTGCTCCAGTTCCTGGCCCAGAGTCCCTACAGCCCTGATATGATTGCAGTTGCTGATCCCAAATTCACTCATGCCAATCTTGCCAGTTGCTGGCACCTCAACCTTACAGCACTTGCAGGCATGGGATAGTGAGATTTAATGGAAAAATAGCTAAGAAAGCATTTAATAAGAATATAGGACAGACTGGTGGTCAGGTACAGCGCTCTGTCAGACAAGCACACTGACCACCCTTTTTTTCCACAAAATTGTCCCCTTTATGTCTATTCCCCACTTTCTGCTTCCCCAGCCCTTTTCCTCAAGGTTTACACAGTCCCACAGACCCAGTCCAAATATCTCCAGTCCTATGTTCCTCTTGTTTCCTCCTTCAGACTAGTTACAAAGTCCAGGCTGGCCCTCTCCAAAGCTGTGCTGGTAGTTTCTTAATAATCCATCAAATAGCGACTGGAGGTCTTTTGCATGATAACATATCCCTTGTCTCTCAGGTCTGGGTCTCCATGTGGTTTTGTTTGTGGCTTTCCCCTTTATCATTTCCGTCTGCATTGAAAAGGTCCTTGACTGGATGACCTCAATGGATGACCTCAATAAGGGAAATGCTTTCACCTTTCATGCCCTTCCATAACCCATCTTTATTTAGTGGGAGAAAATTCACGATGCTACCTTAAGTAACTGTCTACTTTACCTACATATAGAATTTAGCAATTTCCCTGATGGAAAAGCTTGACAGATGAGGGAAAAAAACCCAGCAGATGTCTGTGAAAAGAGCTGTGGTCAGTGTTACCTGCTCCATTCCACAGATCACTGGGCTTGCTGCTGTCTCAGGCAGTAGCAGTAGCTACATCTCAGGCAGTCCTCACAGATCAGAGGAATTGGGTACAGCTGAGCTTAGTTTCTGGTTATCAGCAGTTGGACACTGTAGGTCCAGTTGTGTTCAGTAAGAACTGTCACGATTCAAGGATTCACAAATAGTGCGGTTTATTGAAGCAGGTTTGGAATTGCTGTTGATGAATTTGCTAACTGCATTAGCACTAAATACAAAGGCTAACCAACAATTAATTGAGCTCATACAGAAAAATAAACCAGTTGGTAATTCATTAAGTTTAGTTCCACCTTGGTATCATCCAACATAGTTGGAGGTGCAGATCTTACCATAGAGGTGTCCCTCCTTCGGGGAGGAGAGAGGAGCTAGGCCAGCAACTTGCCTGCAGCATAGGGCTGTATCCTCATCTTCCATCATGGAGGAGTTAAAATGTCCAATTTATACATTTAGAGAAATGGAGGTGAGACTGTAGCCAAATTAGTCACTGCCAGCACAGGTGGTGTGGGGGCAGATTGCCCAGAGAGGT